CAGGGACAGTGTAATGCAGTGGTCTACTGGTGATCCACAGGGACTATGAAGTGATCTACAGGTGGGCCACAGATCAAATGTTATATAGTGGTCCTTAGGTTATCCATGGGTAAAAAAATGGAAATTTTTGTCCCTAACTAAATACCTAATGTGCATGAAAAAATGGAGTTTAATAAATTGTACACTTAACCTGTGGATAACCATCTGTTGATAACTTGGAGTGTACTTTGGATCATTGCTATTAGGGCTAATAAGTATTTCTTTTAGATAGGTAAAACTGTATGTATTGCACATAAAGCACATTTAGAAAAATAAAATAAAGAGCAGGAATATTTTCCTGGTTTTGAATATGTTTGGATCATGTATTGCCGCTGAAAACATTTTGATCCCGTTTCGTTTATTTAAGCAGAATTAAGCAATACCTCCAAAACAATTTTGTTTTGTCATTTATTTATTCATCATGTTCAATATATTCAAAAGGAGCTGGTTCTAAAAGGAGCTTGCATTGTAAGTACCAGACTTGGTCTGCATTTGGATTTTTTCTATTTTAATCTACAAGTTTCCAATACTTTTAATACAAATTTTCTGTGAAGCCTTAAAAAGCCAGCTATGGATAGCTAACTAGTCAGATATCAGCAATTACAATTTTTCATTTAATGAAATATGGGTCAAAGTTTAAGGAAGTTAGGGAAAATAAAACATCCTTATGTTTATTTAAATCCATTTGTGAGTTTAAACTAAGTTGTACACCAAACTAGTTTTGTTGGTAACTAGATAGTCTTTAAAGTCATACTTTTTAGTCCTTCAGTCATTTTGTCTTTATAGTTAGAAGTTGTATTGTCTCTTCCATTGACAGGCCTTTATGTCATCATATTCACCATCTGGATCACAAACATTATGTTTTACTTATGTCTTTGCTGTTGTAGCTCTTTCTGTACATGCATCTATGTGTATGTGCGAGTATGAAAACACTTCCATGTTATGGTGGCAGTTAAGAGCAGCAATAATTCATGTGTATGACTATAGATCATCTCTTTGTCCATTAAATTGGCTCTTTGTTCAAATAAAATACTACAGGAGACTGTAGTCTTGAGACTTCTGCTTTGTCTTAAGACTTCTCATTTGTCTATTGCTTCAAGTATGGTAATGTCATAAATATAAATGTTTTTTAGTTTAATTCTCAAGGCCTTCAACCTTTATTTGAAGTACCCTGCAAGTAGTTTAGGTCCTGTGAAGATTTTGTGGAGAGTTACAATTAATTAAGCCAATTTTAAACTATGTTTTTCCCTTCAAACCAAATTTGCCTCACAGAACCTGGTATTGATGGTGTGAAGGTATAGGGTTAATAATCACAACAATTCTGTAAAAGGTAATTATTTATTATTAAATAACTCAAAAAGGAACGAAAGAATGTATAAAATAACTGATTTTGTTTACTTTCTGACCATCCAATTACTAACCTTTTTATTCAATACAGGGATGTGGCAGAGCCAGTGCCCATCCCAGCAAACAGGATACACCCTGGAACTGAAGTTAGTTGATCACAGGGGGGACACAGTCTCGAACATGCAGACACACACTCACAGGGGAGCCAGTTTTCCCAAAAACCAATTAACCTGCCAGTATGTCTTCAGACTGTGGGGGGAAACCAGGACATTCGGAGGAAACCCACATTACAAAGGGAGAACATGCAAACTCCACACAGATAGCACCCCAGGAATCGAATCCAAGGCCCCAGCACTGCAAGACACCAATGTTAATTTCTCTCTAGTCCTTCCTTTGGTTTCTACAGGGTATTTTGGTTTAGGTATTATCACCCTTGGCAGCCCCCAAGGATTGGTAACCATTTAATTAATTAGTATATGCATGATTGGTAAGTAAGAGTGAATTAGCATATCTAAAGCTACATATTTGCACTAATTTTGAGCAGTTTCATTTGTACAGTTTATTCCAGAAGAGGCATAGCTATATTCAAGAAGCCTTTATCACATTAATATTTAATCTCCGGAGTTACTGTGTGTTTATGTGTATGTACATTCCTGCCAAGTTGTATTATTTCAACTTGTGTGCACATAACCATTAAATTTTTTTATCTGTACCACGCAAAGGGAAATTCCATTTAATCACAGCCTGTGGCATTTGGTTTGTGCATTTGGTGGGCAGTGACACCTTATTGGAATTATCTATTGCTTTCATTTGTCTTTTTATTAATAAGAAATAGAATAGAAATAAAAAGACTATGATATAGGAAGTATACAAGTATTCTAGTATAGAAGAATGGGATTCACAATACGTTTATTATTAAAGCCTTCTATAAGAAATTCTAAATTAATTAGAAAAAAATGAATTTATTGGTGTGTGGCTGTTATGGTAGTTAATAGCATACTTTCACAGTACTTAATCCATGCAGTATTGGTATTAAAACTTATATCCTTATGCTATTTAACTGTAAAAAATTAAGTAATAACTATACTGCAGGTATGCTCTTGAAATGCTATACTAGATAGATAAGACTTTATTGATCCCAAAGGGAAATTGATGAACTGTACTATGCTCTTGAAGGCCTTTTGAAATGACATTGAATACTATGATGAACATTACAGAAACATAATGTCATTCCATTTAGAATAATATGTTCTCTGCAAATTCTATTTCTATTTGTTGAAAATACATTTTTCAATATTTTTCCAGCTTCATATCAATAACCAAAAACATATTGTATGGAAACAACAGAGATAAACTTGGAGACTATTTGCAAAATAATGTCATTTTTTTTAGAAACAAGTTGACATGGATTTAGAAAGGGAAGGTCTTGTTTAGTCAAACTGTTAACTAGTTAACTAGAATTAGAAACTTGTACTAAATGTACTATAATTCCTTGAACAAATAACAGGAATGTATTTTTATTTCTAGCACATTTCTGATCAAGTTTCGCATCAGCTGATACTGAATTGGAAAACCATGGAAATCCAAAATGATGTACATGGATCAAGGACTTAATGAACAGGAAATGGTGCATCATCTTAAAGCAGTGGTTCTCAAACTTCAAAGTTCACTAAATTAATCAGGGACGACAAAACCGTCATTGATTAATTTGTTCAATTAACTGAAATGATTTTAAGTAAAAAAATGTAAATGAATTAGTGAGTAATGTTGTGATTATATACAGCAAGAAAATTGTAAAAAATAAATTTTGTTAGTTTATGTTTTGTTTGTTACTTTACATGCAGTTGTCTCCGGAAAGATACAGTATGATTTAACCTTGGCTTAGGAGAACAAGACATGGGCCCACATGTAATGCTGTCTGATCCTTTATTATCTTTTCCTTCAAACACAGTGTGAGGGGACATGTGTGAAGATGCAGTATTTGGAGATTATTCATACATAGGGCAGATACACACACTAAGCAAAAACATATGGAGGAATTGGATCTAAAAAATGGTAAACATTTTATGAGTTTTTCAGTGGGTCATGTGGAATTTGACAAATTATTTCCTGGCAGATTTCTGGTTTGCTTACCTAACACATTGCTGAGTGAAACTGATGTCAGGCTTATGTTGGTTGTGGAAGATTAGGGAATAAATATACTGTATTGATTTACGATTTACAACATATGCAAAGCTGGTTTATACTGTTCATCCAAGTCAAATCCCTGAACCCTAATATTCGTTCTGTCTTATTGCATTACAATACTGTTAACTGTATAACATTTCTTAAACAATTAATATAGTGTATTATCAGCATAACCCCTCCCAGCTACCACCCCCACCAAAACTCCTGTATACAGTGTTGCTCTTAACTCGGTTTTCAAAATTGAATTTTCTCCTCCTTTGAGCCATATCTTATATAGAAATTTGGAAAGTTTGTTGGAGGTTGTATGAATATATACAGTATATAGAAGGATGTTTATAAGGAATAGAATATGTGTATAGCTTCTTATCACCACAGTTCCAGTCAGTGTGAAGCCTGTGGGATTATACCATACTTAGCTTAGCTGTCTCGTTGTGAAGGGGATAGATCTGTGAATAATGCCAAGTACTGGACTAGAGAAGGAGTTTGAATTATGTACTAAGTACTATGAACGTTCCTTAGATCCTTAGAAATTATTATTTTATTGGTTATGGCATATCTTCAAAGGGGTCACACTGGCTATATTTAATTTCAATTTGCTGTAGTACTTCCATTATAGAAATTTCAAATACATTTTATAATGGAATACTCCTAGAATATTTTATGTGCAACCAGCTAAAATATTCTAATGGTTTTATGTGATGGAGATAAATAATCAAATCCTTTTTGCAGTGTACAGTGATGGAAAACTTTGTGTGACCTATTTTGGATCAGTTCTTAAATATTGCTAGCAAATCTAAAACATAAAGCGACAGTAGTCTTTAAATTGTAAATAAAAAGCCATTTTGCTTTGACATTCCTTTGGCATTTTCTACAAACCTTTTAAGCTTTGTAACATATTTAGACATTTAAACTGTTGTTTAAATTATTATTGTTACTATATTATTATTACTGGATAATTATTACTATTATTATTTTCCTGTATTTATTTACCAAGTGAGAAATCAACCCAATAATTTATCTCTGCTACACTCTAATACCTTGTCAAGGTGATCTGCAAGGTCCACATCAAATTTTGAATTAATAAGAAAGGGTCATTTGCTTACATTATTTTTCCCTGACTAAAGCAAGTTAAGTCCCCTTATTCTAAAGTTCAGTAATTAAATGGAGCGGTTGTGACATCAAATGTACTACTGTTTTATTTTGTTCGCAATATGTTTGGGAGTGGGAGAAATTTGTGAAGAAATCAAGAAAGATTTACATTTTTCTGTTGTTGAAAAAAAAATATTTTCAAACAAAATTAAACTAAGTAATATTGGTTTCAGCTATATCTCAGTAGTTTTTGTTGATGTATCCTCTGGTGACCTAATAGTTTGACCATAATAATATATTTTGTAGAGCTTATCTGATCTTGTTTTTGGTTTTAACAGAAATCGTCCCAAGAGATGTTAACCTGAAAGACAAGTTTATAAAACATTTCACAGGTAAGATACAAAGTCACCCTGTATTTGTATTTGTGCTTTTTCCAGATGTCATTTTAATATACATATTAATATTCTAGTAATCTAACAATTATTATTCTATTTTATGCCTGGATTACATATAGTGGTACATTCAACTTCTTTTCTATTTCATAAAATAAAAAATGCCTCATTATAGAGACCAAAGGAAACACATTACTAAATGGCTACTTTCTTTTGATGACAAATTATTATTTTAAAAATGCCACAGATGTGATTCACTGCATTATTAAATATAACATTCATAACATAGCCAATGGGTATGTCAGGTGCTCCTTATTTCAGTATTTTGCAATTGGTACAAGATGTAATAAACCATAGATAGTAGTTAAAATATAATTTTTAGAATTCTCTCTAGCATGTTCTTTTTGTTACTCAATGGTATGTTAAATAATGTTATACTGTAACTCGGAAGACAAATACAGAATTTGGACAAAAACATTTGTACGCTTTATTTCATCAATTAAAAATAATTCCTGAGAGGTTCATATAAAGGTATAGGATTATTTGAAGTAATTTACTGTTTGGAACAACTGTAATGTGCACTGCTTTAATAGAATAAGATTTTATCTTTGTGATGAGGTGCAATAATTCCATGCTTTGCTCCTAATAAATACGTTACACTGAAGAGAAAAGCTCACTACGTGTGGAATAGCAAGTCCAAGTCCTTATTAGACAGTTTCATGTTTTCATTTGTCTACCGTGATTAATTCACCAATATGTTACACCTAGAAAATAACACTGGGACATTAGTTTCTAATCTCTCTTCTTAAAAATAAAAGTTTTTACCGCAAATATATGGTTATAATGAAAAGGAATGAATCACATTTTACTTTGGAACATTACCCTGCTCAAAGGTGAATCTTTGTCCCAGTTCTAGATCTGAAGCAGGTTTTCCTCTATGACTTGCCAGTAGATTTCTCCATCTATGCCATTTACAGTATGTTCTCATCAGTCTTGACAAGCTTTCCACTCCCTGCTGATGAGAAACAGGACTAAAACTAAGGGTTGCCAGCACTATGCTTGACAGAAGGAATGGTGATAAATGAGTGAGGCACCTTTGCTGGGTTTGCATCAAATGTAACACTTCATATTTATACCAAAAGTTATGATTTTACCTTGGGGTTTAAGACCTTTTCTTTACCATACAAGCCTCCTTTGTTAGGTGACAAGGATGTTGTTTATCCATACACATTTTCTCCCAGCTCAGCCACTGATTTATGTAACTCTTTTAAAGTTGCTGTTAGCTTCACATTGACATTCCTAACCAGTTTCCATCTTGCCTCCCTACTCAGTTTGGAAAAGCAGCATGATCTATGCTGCGTATGGATGCCTTCCACTCCTTAATGATCCACTTGCTTGAAGACATATCATGGGTCTTTGAAATATTTGTTTACCCTTCTCCAAATCTGTGAACTTAATCCATGAGCTATGTTGAAGGCTGATTGATCTTCTTGGTTGACTCATTGCTGGAAATTTACTGTCTGACTGAGAGACCTTACAGAGACAGGTGTATTTATCCTGAAATAATGGGAAAAACTCTTACTGTACACAGGCAAACACTTTTCAATGAACAGTGTGGCTCATTAATAAAATGATGTACACCGAAATTATTTTTTGTTGCAGCAGTTTATGACCTTTCCATAACTTTTCCTTTCATATTTATTATTTGTTTACTTCTTTATTTTTGTTTTTGCTTTAAATGTGTGGGGAAGGTTGCAGCTTTAAAGTAACATAGTTTGAAAACTGTGCAGTTGTATGAATAGTTGTGCAAGGTATTGCAGCTACAGTTAAAAAATAATGCATGTTGAAATTAAATATTGTTTTTATAATGAGTACATAATGAGTGCTTTTACTTTGCTTTGTTTTCAAGCAGGACCAGTCAAGTTTTCATCTGAATGCAGGACACATTTTCATAGACTTTACCACAACACAAGGGACTGTTCCACACCAGCATGTATGTATACAGTTTACTGTGATACAACATCTTTCTAGCAATCCAGTATGAACATAAATTCATTTAATAGTTTTGTGGCTGTCTTGTTTATATGTTTACATTTAGGTCATGCTTATTTTGAATAAAAATCAATAAGGATAGTACTTAGATATAGTATATCTTTTTTAATAAGTGTGCAATGTTTATGTATACAAGTATCTCTGACTTGAAAGTAGATAATGTGAATTATGCCATGCTGAAAGGAGAAGAAAGAAAACACAACATTTCGGCCGTGGAGCATTCTTTAGGTGTGACACCTGGAGAAGGCTCCATGGCCGAAACGTTGTGTTTTCTTTCTTCTATTTTCAGTGTGGAATAAACCTATTACTTGTTCCTTTGCTGCCTAAGCATGCCGACTTAGCTACCCACCTGAAATAACATGAATTATTTCATACATTTTACATGTTGCAGCTAATTCTCAAGCTTGTGTTTTTTAGATTTTTATTTCAATCTGTTATGATATTTGAATATACTGTACATCAGTGAGGAATTCTATCCACTTATTTGAACTATTGTAGAAATATATGTGTCCTGATGGATTGTCTTTCCATTTTTGCTTAGACACTGTATATACATTCTGATGGTTTTCACAGCTCATTAAATACTTTTTTTAATAAACTGTATAGTTAATTAGTAACGTATAGAGTATCTCTTTTGATTTTAGATTAGTATTCCTGAGTATTGTTGCACATAATAAAAACAAAATACAAAGGTTTTGCATGTTTTACATTTGTAAACCAATACACTTCAGCACAGCATATTACTACCCACTACACATTAGTTACACTGTCATTGTGTAACTCCATTCTTCTGCAATAATAATACTATAATAACACTGTGAATATTTAGTACTTTGGATGAGATATCCACCATCATAATCATAAGAGTTCCATATGATTCTAAGAAGCAGTAGATTGAAACAAAAAAAAACATTTTCTTGCATATTAATTTTCACATTCATGACTTCATTCTTCATTCCTATAACAAGGTGCTTTTGTTTTGAAATTAATGGCTATATACAAATTGAATAAAAAACCTAAACTGTTTCCCCAAGACTAGGCCTTATAAATACTGGGATAAGTGAGTCGATGATACTGATACTACAGTTATCCTTTCAAGGAAATATAATATATGGTTTTGTCAGAGGATCTTATTCTTAGTCATGTTTTGTCTCTGGGGATCCAATTAATTATTTATTTTCTCCTAAAAAAATGATCCATTTCTTCTTACTATGTGTGCAGTCTGTTACGTTTTTTTTACTAAACTCTCAAGAACAATTGTTTATATTTTGTGCATTTGCAATACTAATAAGCAAAAATAGCCAAATGAAATTGCTGTGCATTATGCATACTCATACTCATTGAAAGGTTGAAAGCTTCTGTCTCTATCAAAGCTATACCTTGTCTTTACACTATACAAAGCAATTGTAGTTAAATAAAATATAAATTAGTAATTAAAATAGTAATTAGCAAATAAAAAAGTTACATATCAGCCACGCTTTAACACATGATAAGTAAAATCAGTTATTTATATTTAAGGGGTCCTGGAAAAGTGGATGGTAAGACTTGTAAGTTTGTATCAGGACAGCAGATATGATCTTTGACTAGTAAAATATATTTTTGTGCTACATAGACTAATGTAGCACAATTACAGGAACTATAATCCCCCTTTCTGTGATAGGGTATAAGGTATTTTGTCTTTAAGCTTTAAAACACAAATATTTTTTCTGTATTGCAGCCTGAAAACTGAAGCCGCTGTGTCATAACATTTTTGTTTTTAACAGATTACAAAAGATGTGCAAGATTACTAACAAGGCTAGCAATGAGTCCACTCTGCACACAGTCTTAGAAGCCTGCCCTGTAAGTATTTATAATTACTAGGATGTGATTGAATCCTAGGATAGGGGTTAATAAGAAAATAAAAAGTTATCAGAAATACTCGCTGTGTGAAAGCAACTTTGCTTTCATTGCATAATTTTGTTCATAGTAAAATCTGATGTTGTGTAATTCACCTTTGTAACCCTAGAGAGACTCAGATTATTATTATTATTATTATTATTATTATTAGTAGTAGTAGTAGTAGTAGTAGTAGTAGTAGTATTAATATTAATATTTTAGAGATTTCAGGAACTTTTGCAGGTAACTCGTCTGGCTCTAGGCATGGTGGAATGTGTTCACACTGAAATGATCAGTGATGAAAGTCTGTAACCCTAGCAATAGTCTTACCCCGATCAACAGCTTTTGATTCTTTTCTGCTGTTGATCATTAGTTTGGTAAGACTGAAAGAGTTAAAAAAATATTAAGGGAATGAACTGAAAGAGTCTGGGGAGTAGGTGTTTGGATCAAGACTTGCACATTATGCATGAAAACATATTGATCACATAAGAAAGATCTGGTTGTGGACTTTTGAATCTGTCGTATGTTGACGATTCTGTTAAATTCCTTTTAATAAATGCTAAAGTGCTTCAAACAATGACCATATGGTTAGTTTTTCCCATACTCTGGAAAATAAGAACTATTTAATTCATAGTTCCCAAATATACAGATAGTGCATTTTTATTAATCATAGTTTATCATTAAATTGGGTTTCAGAGATGTGCATTATTGGTAAATTAATGTATTCATATTTCAGGGGAAATGTAAGAAATACAGTACAGTATTTTATTTTGTGCTACTTTTTTCAATCAAGTGCTATTTTTCTGTTAGAAAAATATACAATCAAAATTTCTAATCAAGGTCGGTACCATTTCTTTGATTTTATACTAAATACCCTGATGAAATTAAACTATTTTGTTTTTCAGAAAAAAAAGAAAAACTGTTAAAATCCCCATTGAGACTATTGGTATACTGGACTATGCAGTTTGACAAATGCCCATAATTAGGCAAAAATATATTTTCTAGTGCCCAGTGCCAAGCAGGCAAATTTCCAAAAGTTGCTTTTTTATCTTAATGTTGTAAAGTATTTTCAGGGATATATTACATTTATCTGGTATGAATTAAAATAACTTGATAATTCATTTTTTTAACCTCCAATTACAGATTAATTTTAAATCTATTAAAATTATTGCATAAAGTCATACTAAGAATGTGTTACTGCACTTACCTTCTAAATCTGCCAGTGATTAACTCATATGCTCATATAACCTAAGGGAGTGCCAGGGATGTGTGTGTGTGGGGTCACAACTGACATCAACATGTTTTTGAGTAGCTTTATTTCCAACTTTGTCATGTTGTGCAACTATTTTCTTGTCATTTGAGAGCACTGAAGACAAGCAGATGTGTGCAATGCTAGGACATTTGTCAGATTTTTCTGACCAACTGGGGTGTAAAAGCATTCACAAGACAGAAGTTAAGACTAAGGAGACTTAAACCCATTGTATTTTAAATAATTTACATCAGTTTTTTTTTTAAACTAGAATACTTGGACTGTATAGATTTATGTATGATGTGTTTAATTCTGATATCTCAGAATATCCAATGAGATGGCTATTCAAAAGGAAAAAGGGGTTCTGGAACATCAAGGATCTTAAAAATCTTTTAAAAGATTTGGATAATGAAAAATATAGGGTTTCATAACAATAAGTATTATGAAATAAGTAAAAGTATTAAGTGTTATATTATTAAAATAAACAGTTTATTTTATTTATCAACCTGCCAATAACAGTTTTTATTAATTCCCTACAAACTACATTTTAAGTCATTACAGATAGCCCTTTCTGTTACATTTTAATATCCAAAATAAGATTATACTTATTATATATATGAAATCTTATTTATGCATTTGGAATGTTCTTTGGAAGGTCCAATTTCTTTGACACTGAGAAATGCATTTGAATGCTAGATGCAGGATGTAGTTATTACCCCTGTGTACTATTACATTTCATTGCTATTGTTCAGGACCTACAATATATTAAATCTAGTTGGAAGACCATTAATTGATTCTAAAAAATAATGAGAAAGTTTAAATAAGTTTTTTTGTTCTCTGAAACAATCAATCATAACAAGATGTAATATCTGAAGTTGACAAATGGCTCACTTCAAATAGGAGTAATATGAACAATATGAGTAATATGTCAGCAAACTTTTTTTCGCAACATATTTCTTGGTCCGAAACTACATCAGGAATTAATACAGTACATGCTTGGCTTATCCCTATATCTATCTTAATAATGAGAGTGGTAGGAACTCAAATAAAAGGATATTGTATGAGACACAAATGCATAATCTACTGTATACTACATTACCAGGCAAATATGATGTAATTGGAATCACAGAAACTTGGCAACAAATAAGTAAAACAACAATATTGGATGCACTGTATTCCAGAGAGAAATGAAAGATGGATGAGGGTAGGTTACGAACTACCATCAAAAGGAGCATTCAAACACAGGAACATGACCTAGATGAATCTAAGTTCTCTCTGATCTATATAGGTCAGACTTATAATAACATTTAAAAGTCGACTGTCAGGAGAATGCTACAGGCCACCGTTTTCTTATATTAATTATAATTTAGCATCGTATAATGAAATGTACATAGGAAGGAAGGAATTTTATTGTAAGTAATGGCTAAATTAGATCCCTGGATTTATCAAATACTTGTAACTAAAGAAGCAAATTGCCAATTTGCATTTCTAACCTTTATCTATTTACCTTTATTACATAGCCTTTTCACACACCTGAGGACAACATGAGAAATGTGTGACCTTTTAAATATGGTACAAAATGAGTACTTGCCCACATTAAAAACACACATGTACACCAGTTTTATTCATACTGAAGCAATTCCATGGCTCAGTAAAAGAGAGCACAAAAACTAAAACATGATGTGGGAATCTTGCTGACAGAGATGACTAAACTTGAAGTCACTATCCAGACTGTTCAGAGTCCATTCATCCACCTACTACAAACCTTCAGGAAGCATTTGTTATCAACTCAGATCCAGTCAACTAAGTGTAATGACTCAATAACAGGACTGGGAGTTGAAGGGATCAACTTAAATATAGCAACAGCTACGTCTTCTAACACATTTTGGCGTTAAGGAAGGCTTATAAACCAGATTACAATGATCACGCCTCTCTTATGACCTCTTTTATGATATAATCATTCAGTGTTACCTGGCTGCACAACTGCATTGTGCACAACAATATTGTTAACTGATCAATGGATACTGGCCAAGACAGTGTTTTGTAATGATATCTAATGTATAATTAATCATAATTCCATAATTCTAATTGGATGATGATGAGTGTACTGTATATCAGAGTATGATGTCTTACACCAAAGTGAGATGTCCTCTTCTTTCATTTTGCCTAATGGCGGGAATGGATGTCTCCAAATAACTGAGAGATGTAGTTTTATTCTCAGAATCAATATTGATAAATGATTTAAGAGCCTGAATTGTTAAATTGCTTGAAGTGTACAAATCCAGCATCTAGGATTCATTTGGGTTAATCCAGCACATGAGTTAACTAAGTGATACCTCAGACTGCAAGCTGATTTACGTAATGGTAATATCTATGATAATGGAATTCTTTTTACTGGTAAAATTTTCAGATTAAGCATTTCGGTGCATTTTATTGTTCTCCGATTTTCTATTATCTTATTTCATGTATGATGACTGATGCATTAATATTAAGACAGATTAAGTCTCTAAGAGATACATGAAGGCTTAATGTCATTAAAATAAACTTTCTTCAAAATAAAGAAGTAAATATTTGAAATAATGAGTAAGAAGTAACATTAGAACACCATTGTGTGGTGCTTGTAATATACAGTATAACGCAACTAAAGTACAAATTAAAGTTGCAAGGAAGGCAAGTGTTTGTTACTGATAAGTGAACAGGAGAATATTTTGACATTTTTAAAGCAATTCTTAATTGTTCTCTGTGGATTTCTGAAACAAATCTGAAACAAGTCTCTAAGGATTTTTGTTGTTCATAAATTAAATTATTATTCTACTATGAAATGTCCTGTGTAGATAAAAGGGGAAAATGAAATAAAGGATCTAAAGTTCGTAGGTTTTTTTTATTTTGTCTATTTTAAATACATTAAAATAAACATATATTAATTTGGGACAGGTGAGTAAACAGGCATAGTGCGAGTTTGTCTAGAATATTAACTCAGAGAAAAGGCAACAAAAGAGCATAAAATGTTACAAGAACATAAAAGACTACAAGCGATAAAGACTGAATGACTGGTAACAGTCATCTGGTAACAGAACCAAATCTTAAGTGCCATTTCCTACTGTCCCTTTTCTCCAAAAGACTTCTCATGTGATCTTGGGCCATTTAATATTGGAGTACACATAGAGAAACTTGTCCCCCCCCTGCATAACCATATCTAACATAAACATTTGTTTTTCTCAGAGACAGATAATGGAAATGTCTTTTTCTTTCCAACTTGGAAAACAGCTAGAAGAAATGTTCACAAGCACTTCTACAAGTCTTGGAATTTTTCAATTGAATGTGCAGTGTTTCTGTTTTGTGTTTTTTCAGGCACAAATGAACTGAAGATGGAATTCTTATTTGCCTAGAAAGTGCCTTGGAATCTTCCCCAAGATGGTTTTACTCTCATCTTGATTGCATTTTTGTTTTGTTTTGTTTACAATACTGTTTTACTAATGAATGCTTTTTATTTTCATATATTTGAAACATTCATTGTGTTAATAAAGAAGATATATTTTGATTTATAAAATTACATCCTAGTGCTGAAGTAAGCCAATTATTTATTAAATACTATGTATATAATGATCTGCGTGATAAAAAATATATATTTAAATCATAAGCAGATATACTATTTAGATATTTCATTTCATCATACTCATGCCATTTTTGCTCAGGCTGATGCTCACGTATTGCACTGACCTTAATGCAAACTAACAGGTAACTGTCATGTTCTGAGAAAGCTGTAAACTTTTTTCCCATTGTTTCATCCCTAAACTTCTCTTACTGGTTATTATGACCTTTGTGAATAAAAAAGTTGCACACTGATAAATATTACTCAAATATCTACCAAGCTCTTATTATTTGTTTAGCTGTTATGATTATCATCATTTACATTTGTATTGGTACAAAGTTCACAAATAATGTAAATATATGACAAGGACTGGAAGACCGCACTGCAGCTTAGATGGAATAAAGATTATTGATCAAGCACTTTTTTCTCTATCCGGTTATTGAATTTAAGTGTATCAAGACATTGTTTAAGAAAAAAAAAGATTATAAACTTAAGATGAATGTTGAAAATTGAAAATGCTTTCTCTTTGTCCATATGCTAAAAATTAGCAAGACAGGAGTCCTAGAAAAATACTTTCATTCAGTGTCATTAAAATGCCCTGATAAATGTACATTTTGTGTTTCTGATAATTGGTTTCAAGTACTATTTTAAATATCAATATATGTAAATAATATTTAGACATTTTTTTTCAATAGATTCAATGGATAAAAAAGTTGACACATTTTTAGAAAAATGGTTGATCTATGTCTGGTTACTGGATTGTTAGTTATTCAACATACTCTATGAAAAGTGGATTATGAAATTCCTTGGTTGCTTTGCATGTGACAGTAAGCCTATATAATAGGTCTTTGGCATATGTGATACTTAATTGGGGAAATAGTAGAAAGTACTGTAAATAGGAAAGAATGAATAATAGTCCCACTTCCAAGAACTGAGTACAATAAGGCCAGGCACAGCAGGGCAGGGCCTCTTTGTAAAAAAACGTACACAACTGGGAAAACTGTTCAAACTGTTCAAATTCAAACTCTGCCATAACAATATTATAAGTGGACATGCAATTAGATATCTAAACACAATAACAAACGCAATTTAACTAAAGTTTATCTACATTGCATAATTTACAGGTTATAAGTACAATTTACAGGTTATACTTAACCCCACATCTGCTCGAAGTACTGCCTAAAATACAGTGCTCTTACTGTGGTCAGTGGGAGGGGGGCAGCATTTTCGGTTTGAAAAAAACAGGACAAGAAGTATAAATAGTATGTTTTTTTACATAATTGAATTTTTTTAAACAACAATACAGCATGCTAACAATTATTTATAATTTATTTCTGTACCTTCTTGTAACAAATGTAAGATATTTATTTTAAAAAAAAACAGAAAAAATAGATGTCATATTTTAAAATATTTGTAAAATATTTTACGTTTATTCATATCAAGTCAGCTTTAAGTTGTGCAGGTACAGATCATTATTTCTTAGACTGGATATTGTGTGATTGAATCTGAAATTCAACTTGATACTTCAGATCCAACAACAAACTCCAACTGACTTCTTCACACCAGAATAGCAACTCTGTATTCTCATCTACAGCAAACAACCCAGCCATCATTACCACCCATTATGAGGCCCAGAACCCCAGCAGTCCTGCACAATTGCTGTAACAAACAGAATCAGTTCATACACAAGAGACGCATAGTGCACATTGTCTCTATATTCAGGATATAATATTTAGGTTTGACAATGCTTGGAAAAAAATAAATTGATGGAGTTTTGTTTGCCATATTAGAATTTTCTTTAATACAGGTTTATAAAAAATATTTTTTCTACATTTGTAGAGGGCACAAACTTAGGTAAGACAGAGACGTGGGGGCTCTAAGCCTTTTTAGCCCACATATTCTCACTTTGTGCACGTGCCGGAAGTACAGTATAAGAAATTTAATTATTTGATTTAAGCTGAACACATAATTTTGTATTTCCTCTTGTTCATTGGGATTGGTGGAATAGAAAACATCATTAGTAGGTCAGGTAAAAACTACAATTCTTTAATCAAATTAAGAATAACTATAAAACCATACACTGTAGCATGTCCAGGTGGACATCATAATTAAGATGTAGCTGTAACAATAGAAGTACAGGCCATGTATTGACAATGTAATAAAAAGGCAACAGGTGACTTCTTTGCACAGAAAAGGTTGGAATTTTGTATTTGCATAAAACCATTTTCCATTATGGGCTGCGCTTCGTCAAGAAAATGATGACCCAGTATGTAAACAAAAAAATATTAGTGCAATCTGGGATGGCTAATTCTGAAAACTTTGAATCTGCAAAGTTTCAGTTCAGTCTTACCGCTGTCCCCAAGACTGAGTCAGTTTAAAAATATCCTACAACAAATGGCAGTCAGGTAAATAACTTGGTTTAAACATTTCAACATATGATAACTGAATTATCACTAGAATGATAGTTGCCAAGCTTAGAGAAAATTGACTAAAAGGCTTTGCTCAGATACAGTTTCTAATACAGGATGCATATTGACGAGAAAAAAGGAGGGTTCAGATAAGCTTTTTGGCTTCTACTGGAACCTTGTTTTATTTAATTGTCATTGCATTATTACTTGAATAGCACTGCTGAAGTCTGCAGTTAATGGGACAAACAGCTTTTTAAGAAGAGCAGTTACCAGTATGTGGTGCTCTATGCCAAGCATGTGAATTGTCGTGGGAAAGTGTCTCTGCAACATGTGAGATGCAAGTCTGAAGCAGGTCAGGTGCACAGTAACTTGCCACGTTCCAGGTCAATATGTACAATAATTCACGTGATCATTTCCCATCCCATGATCCCATCATAAATCCCAAGATTATTTGAAACTGGGAAACAAATAATAGTCAGAAAGCCATTGTTATTTGAAAAGGATCCCCATATCACCATACTGTGTGTGAGCTGTATTGTCACAAGAATGATACCTACCATATTTGTGTTCAAGGGCTGTTGGTGAAACAGTCCATGAACAGTAGCTGTTTGCAAAAGAGGGCACATTTTTCCAAGTAGTTAATAAGCTGGTATGAGCAGGAAAACGATTACAGAAATTTGTAAGAGGTTCAAATCAGAATTAGCTTTGGATGTTCATGAAATCTGCCTGATTTCTATTAGAACAGAGCAGCAGTTTCCAAGAAAGAGGTAGACTGAGCTGTGAAAACAAAATGGCAATTATATAGTCATGTGGAACAATGATCACATCACAATCACAATTAAATTGCTGTCTAAAATGATATCACGATTAGAGGTAATTTACCAAAAAGGCTTCTAAAGCCGAGTTGGTGTTACTGATCTTATATGGAAAATAAAAGATAAATGAAATGATGGCCAGGTGGCCATTTTGGGATCCATCATTTTCACATATAAGAACATACTGTATGAACACATGGTGCCTTTTAGATTAAGGGGGTAATAAAATAATTATTGTAAAATAATTAGGTAACAAGTAAGCAAAGACTGAGTTTGAGCAGCTCTATTCTATACAGTATAATGGTAAGAAACTGTTAATGTGCTCTTCACCATAGAGTTAGTAAAAACATGTCATACCACAATCAAAAGAGATTTAAGATTTAAGAGACAAACTGTAGATTATGCTTCAAAGAGTTATATATCCATTTGTAAACCCATTTGGGGTCCTCTATCCATCGACTGTCAAACAGTTTACAAATGGAAAATATTGAAGACGACAGTAATTCTACCTGGGACTGGTCATCCTGCCAAGATCTCCCCAAAAGCAAATATTCCAGGTTGATCCAGGAAATCACAAAGAGCCCCAGGTTAAAACTGAAGGATCTGCAGTCCTCTCTCATTGTGGCTAATGTTTCATGCCTCAACCATCAGGAAAAGACTGAAAAAATTGCTTTCATGACAAGACAGCCAGGAAGAAGCAATTGCCCTATGAAAAGATAATTGCTGTCCATCTTAAGTTTGCCAAAGAGGTCCATGAGGATCCACAACATGACTAGAAGAATGTTCTCTGGACAGACAAGTCAAAAGTAAGACATGTTTCAACAAGATGAGAAATATTTTGTGTGGCAAAAAAAAATACTCCCTTCCAGCAGAAGAACCTTATCCTGACCATATGTTTTGTGGCTGTTTTACCGCCACATGTTTGTACTGTACGTTTACTTAAAATACATGAATTTCAGGAAACGAATACTGCCACAAGATCTGCTCTGACATGCTCTTCTGAGTTATCTGAGCAGACCAGGTGTCCGAAGAAGAGCAAACATTTCACATTAAATAGAATCATGACCGACTCTTGGTTTGCTCTGGCTCAGACGTCTGTGCTGGTATGATATTCATACTGTATGTTGTACTGTATGACATTTGACATTCATACATGGGTCAATTAAACAGTCACAAAAATATGATCAATGGTCATGATGAGGTTCTTCTGTTGGAAGGCAGTGTTTGGTTTTTGCTACACAAAACATTTCTCATCTTGTTGAAACAAGTAGCTATGATATGACAAATACAGTATCTTAAACAGACACCACTGGGTAATCACATTGAGACAATGTAAGAAACAGGAAGTTCTCAACTTTGTCTCTGATCCACATAATAACACAGGACTGATGTACAAGGCCGTAACTTTGTGTTGAGCTACAGTATATAGCTGAGCGCCGGATGTGATTTTGCAGCACACTGTGTTGAGCAGAACTAAGAAATGCAACATCTGGTTGTAAGTCATACTATCTGATATAAGGGAGTGAGTGCTAATTTCTTGCTAATGAACAAGTCTGCATATCTACCCCCAGTTGGGAATATGTCTGAATAATACAACATGTGTTCTCTGTGTGGCTCCTCAAAGGTGAAAAGAACTGTGAACTTTGCACTGAAGGTTTCACAGACACCACCATAAAACCATTCTACCATGAAGGAATATGGTTAAAAATGGCAATTCTCAAGTCAGGGAGAGGAGACCCACTGCTCCATAGACAGGATCATAAATTTGGGGTCATAAAAGAGAGGATGCAAAAAAGAACATTTGATAGGGTTCAGTTTTAAGAAATTAGGCAAACATACCTTATAGTCATCTATATCTCAGCAAATGCATTAGATATCACTTTGGTCTTCAATTAAAGAGCTACTCCTAATTAAACAGATTAAAAAGACAGAGTTCTGATTTCAAAAAGCAATATTAAAAGGATTTTGAAATTAGAGAACAAACTATTAGAAATTCAAATCAAATGGGTTGAAGGCTCGGCTTAGAATACCGTGACTCCTCTAGTGACAAAATTAAGTTTGACACATCCCATTGCTTGTATTGCAAATTAGAATTTAGAACCAATGAAATAGTATCCTTCATTTTTGGGGGTAAAGTTATTGGTTGACATATCACTTAGATCTTTCACTTACAGAAGAGTAAAATGTGTAATTAAAATACCATATTATGCACCACGTTTATTTGAGGAAGAAAACAAGTATGCTTGTTTGATATTAAATAAGGGGGGAGCTGCAGTCCCAATTCCTTAGATTGGCTATGAAATCTCAGTAACAAAATAAATTCATTGACATTATAGAAAGACTT